GTGGACCAACCAATCAAGAGCTCAGCAGTAGAAACTACTGCAACCGCTTTGAATACTGTCTTGATGTTTAGCACTGAAGAAATGCAAACAACAACAACAACAAAAAACCAAAAACACACACACACACACACACAAAAACGGAGTTATGTAGAGTACCAGACAAGTTTCGTGAAATAGTTGTCTGGGTACCACGGGTAGAATTCGCAAATGATAATACTACAAACAGGGGGGCACCCAACGGGGTCCTTGTCTAGTTGTAAATGTCGCCTCACTGTGCAATTTACTGTTTATGTGTGACAGAAACCACAATTATGTGTCCCTTTCCAGAAGTACTCTTCTACAAGCATATGTAGTTGAAAATATAAGTTACTTTTTAAACAAAATTTTTGCATGCCGGAAATACATACATTGATCCCTGACCAACATAGTTTGAGAAAGCAGCCTAAAAATGTAATCCACCAAGCTGCAGTAAACATAGCTAACCCAAAAGCCAAACAGCTTTTCACAATAACTAGCGAAAGAGGACAACTCTCACAACTTACCACCCATCAATTTATTTCCAATGGATGAAGCAACAGCAACTGCTTGTGCTGAAACAAAGAGACAGAACGTCATACTCACAAACGTACTGTGTTACAAGGTTAAAGATTCTCTCAAATCAGAATGCTTTCGAAAAAATGTAATATGCTGTATTGCTCAAATAAGCTTCCTCATAGAATCATTATTATTAAGTAAAACCCATTATACCTCTCAACTGAAACCAGCAATCAGCTGAAACCAGCGAAATATGCTGAATCAACAAAAGTAGCACATAGCTAAACAAACACAGCATAACCTTCTCATTCCTTTCAACAAACCACAGCTTCTTCAGCTGGAAGTTTGCTATTTTATATTGTACTTCATCTCCTCATTCAAGTTTTAGCCCTCTGAAATCGAAGTTAGGGGAAGAGGGGAGGGATATAAATAAGCTACTTGCAATTCTGACTCGATAGTATTCTATAATTATCTCCTTATTGTTCGTATCATTCGAGCATACCCGAAAAGTACCTTGTACCTTGCTTTTTATTTCTGATTCAGTTAGTCTATGAAATGCACCTGCAGGGGATCATGGTAGTTGTATTCATCAAAATAAATGATAAATACAACTACCATAATTCCCTGCAGGCACGTCTCATAGAGGAAATTGGCCATAAAAAATACTAATTTATTCGTGCGGTCTTATGTACGATTTTCAGATCAGGGTGGCCGTGTCAAAAGTGGATTTTAATCAGGATCTGAAAT